ACACACACACACACACAGAAGCATCACTGTCTGAGGTTTGGTGGTAATGAGGCCTGTCATCCTTCCACACAGCCTCTCTCCCTCCCTCTCTCTCTCTCTCTCTTTCTTTCTTTCTTTTTTCATTGATCCACTAACAGATCCCCAATATAACAACTAGCAGTCGCTGTGGGAGCCTCCCCTCTTTCCTCTCCTCCTCCTCGACACGCATCCCTCTGGACCATTTAAAAACCTACCACCACTTTCTCTCTCTCCTCCTCCTCTCTGTCTCTTTCTCTCTGTGTCTCTCTATCGCTTTCTATTTCTCTCTTTCGTCCTCCAAAACCCTCTCTGCCGTCCGTCTCGGGCTCTCTACTGGTCCGTCGGGTTCAGACAGTCTTGTTATATCGGCTGACAAACAGAGAGGGGTTTCTCCGCAGCGTGCTGAGGAGCGGAGGTGGATCTTTAAGGTGGTAGTTTGTCCGTCTGTGCGTCCATCTCACCTGGTGGTCCTGTGGAAAAATAAAACAACAAGAGCCAGAAAACATAGACTCAGCTGAGGTGTTTCAAGCAGTAGAAAGGATCAGAAAATGACATTTCTCAGAGAGTTTGTGCCGCTGTTTACATTTTACATGCTTATATGTTCTCTAAAATAACCTTCAATGCTTTAAAGGTCCAATGTATAACACTAAGGATGATCTATTGTAAGAAATGGAATATAATATACATAGGTATGTGTATATAATAAGTGTATAATCACCTGAATATAAGAATCATTGTCTTTTTATTACCTTAGAATGAGCCGTTTTTATCTACAGACCCCACTGGTTGCCTTTTGTGGGGGCCTTTCTATGTTGAACTGCTATGTTCCTACAGTAACCCAAAAACAGGCACTAGATATGGATTTATTCACAGGTTTTGTTTTTGTATATACATTCATAAATCAACCCTAACCCCACATATCAGTTCCCATGATGCACTCTTTATTAAGCGACGCATAAGCTAAATTTAGGAAGTGTAAATGTTCAATCTTAAATGTATGACTGCCCATAGAGAGTGGATAGTATTTGGTTATCATTGATTTGGGTATTTGCTGGTTAAAATGTGGCCAGACAGGAAATAAAAACATGATACATTTGATTGAAAAGGCATCAAATTTTAATAAAAATGTTGTTTCAACAGCTTTAAATGACTGCATTTTATCATGTGATCTGGATCTGCTGCATGTTGAATATAGACATTTAAAGGCTGTTGAAAGAATATCTACTGTCTGTCACTATATGTCAACTAAATTGTAGGATAGGTGTGTATCTTAATATAATTATCACATGCCATACTGTGTGTATGTTGAAACATCGCTGTAATCATCCTTGCTCTTCTTCTTTGACCCATGAAGCGGTTTCTTTACAGAGCGACTACCTCTGTCACGTGAGTATTGTATTTAGATGGACTTAAATTTAGATGCCTGAGCTGACTCTCCTCCCGAGCCTCAGGCTGCTGGTCACCTTTAGCTGTTTGGAAATAAACAGGAATCAGAAGTGAAAATCAGGATTATTTTCTTAATTTGTGGAGATCTGGCTTTTTTTTTTTTTAGAGGAGCCAATGACAGTGATATATTTCACTGTTTTCTGTTGACTTCCTGTCTTCCTCCAGAGATTTCTGCTCCACTCTGACCTTTGTGTTCAGAGATGTTTTCCTCCCCAGTGTGTGTGTGTGTGTGTGTGTGTGAAGGTGTGAGTGTATCTGTTTATCTGTTTGTATCTGTGTGTGTGTGTGTGTGTTGTAGAACAGGGGAAAACAAATCACCCGCTGTAGTTCTCATTAGCAGCAGTTTTGTGTCAGTGCTGAGAGATCAGCTGTCAGCTCTCGGCCTTCCTCTGCAGCTTCACCTTTTACCGACGATAATTACACCGTTTAACGCCAGCGCTTCTCAAACAGCGGTCTGCAGACCCACAACTGGTTCAAATGAGAGACTAAAGAGGGTCTTTGCATTATTCAGGATAAAGTTGGAGTCTGAATGAAAGGAGTGTTTTGGTTGTTTTCACAGCAGACAGGTTTGTAACCATGAGAGTAACATATAATGGCTTCAGGATTTGACCACATTGTGTTCAGTTGTGTTGGTTCTGTCTCTGCGGTGGTTCTAATGTTCAGCAGACACTTTTCAGACACAGTTTTGTGTTGTTTTGCCCACATTTTGTGTGTTTTTAAAGGTCCAGTGTGTAACATTTAGGAGGATCTATTGGCAGAACTGGAATATAATATTCATAGGTATGTTTTCATTTCTGTATAATCACCAAGACAGAAGAATTGTTGTGTTACTTTAGATTGAGCCTTTTATATCTATAGAGGCAGCAGGTTCTCTTCTATGGAGTCAGCCATGTTGAACCGCCATCTTTCTACAGTAGCCTAGAATGGACAAACCAAACACTCTCTGTAGATATGGCCCTTTGTGTTTCTTGTGAGCTTCGCAACCACCATAGTTTCTCCTACACGCTTGAAAGAGGAGGGTGAGACAAGGGGTATTCAGTTGGTTGCAATCTCACTGCTAGATTCCTACACACTGGACCTTTACTCTACTACCACTCATCATCTCCTGAATAGTGTTGCGTGTATATAATAACCTATGTCTACATTAATGCTGGTACAATTTATGAATGCATGCATCCCTTTGTCTTCACCTGGTGGCAATTTTTCTCACTCTAAAACAAAACACTGAGTGCATCAGAGTCAGTTATTATCTCATGTAACTTCTAATCTGTCACTTATTTTAATCACACCAGCCACAGAGACATATGGAACATGGATATTTAGGTCTTAACTCAACAACAAATGTTTTGACATTGAGCATACTTATACTTACAGAAAAGCTGGTTGATACTGTAGATATTTATAGTAACATATAAATGATCATCCCAATCATTGATATTGGACTATTCTGTGAAATCCCTCAACTAAACGTATTTTTATTATTTATTCCTGCGTTATCCATGCATTGCAACTAGTGTGGGGTTAACGTTGGGAAACTAAAACAAATAATAAGGTAAGGGAAAGATTGTGGTCATGAAGTCAGTCACTGGCACTGAACATTGGCATTATACCTAAACCATGTGCTGCAGAACCGTCCAATAAGAACGTATTCCTATGAAGACTGAGAGGAAAGGGTTAAAGGTAAGTTATATTTATCTGTAACATCCTGTCCAGGCTGATTGTAGAGACAAGTAGAGGAGTATAAACTGTATGTCTGGCTTCCATTATTTACGGCCTGCAGCATTTACACAGTATTTACCACTGACTGATAACTACTTTAACACAAGGTAAATACAACACGTTGTGATATTTGCTGTCTTAAAGAATTGACAATCACCTGAATGCTGCATTAAACAGTCCCCCTAGGAAGTTGCAATGTTATGATCACAACAGTTAATGTGAATTCAACCAATCCCCATGAATTCTGTGTGACTTTACACTTTTGACCAGACACTGCAACTTTCCAGTTTGACCAATAGTTGGTTTCCCGTGCAATACATTGAGCCATACGTGACCACACTCACTTCCTTGTTTCAAGGTGTTAAGATGTAGATCAAGCAGACATTTATTCTCACTGGAACAAGTTGCCTTTGATTTATAATTAATTATAAAGAAAACAAATAGCCAATTTGTACTTTCTCCAGAAATGTAATTGCAAAAGAAAATGCCTAAAAACATGTGTCGCGATTTCAAATCAGACATTTTAGGTTGCAACAACCCTAAAAAAGCCACAAAATCCTGGAGGGACTGATTAAACCTCAGTGGAAATAAGACAGAGACAAATCACAGACACCAAAACAACTGAACAGTGGTTAAAACTGTTTTGCAACAGTATATTTTTTATTGTAGAAAATACACCTGTTGGCACTCTTCTTCTGCTGTTATTATAAAGAATGAAAACAGAACTTCTGATATGTTTGTTACAGAGGTTTTAAATGCTGCATTAAGTTCAGTGACATGAGGAATATCAGTCATAACTTTTTCTAGATTATTATGCTACCATGACAGTTTGGGGTTCACTGAAGTCATAACATTAAAAAGAAGGATGACAAAACATCAACAGTCAGAATAAGTTCACTGACCTGGTGACAGTCAGCACACCTCTAACACAAAGTACAACATTTAAGGTCATTACTGAGAGGACAGAAACAGTATTAGTACAGTACTAATACCCACAGAACATTTTCCTCCTGTGCAATTTGTGCAGTAGTTTTTGCAAACATGATATGATGCATAATGCATCAGGAGGAAAAGATACTTTATCTCCATTTAATCGAAACACAAAAACACAAATCTTACTTTTCAATGACGGAATAAGAGAAATCACAAATAATTAAGTGCTAGAATGGCATTTGACACTTGCTACAATTTCTTTTTTGCATATGTTTGTTAACAGGTATTGAAAAGAAGAAGAATTGATTAGATGCATAGAAAGTGAAAGCATTTTGGCAAATGAAGAATGATTTGGCAATAAGAGAGCTACATAGTTCTGTAAGTGCAAGTTTCCATGATATTTGTCATGTTTGAGTCACAGTTCATTATTTAGTTTGATACAAAGTTTTAGGGATGATGCTACCTGGCACCAGCCACTAAATATGCAAGTATGCTAACGTATTAAACCGTTAGCAAGAACCACAGTGAACCTGATAAATACTGAACACACAACATCAAACTGACGCCGCTCCACTCTGCATACAATGTGTCGCTATCGGATGAAAACCTCATATCTCCAGGTTTTGGCATTTGTATTACACGTTCATCTTATGAGAGGTCCTTGTATATAGAGTACATCACAAATAAATGTGATTAAAAAAATCAGGGTTTTGTAAAGTTGTTTCATTGTCAAAAAAAGAACCTAGTTTAAAATGTGCCACACAATCCTGAAAAAGTTCCCATTTTGGAGATATAAGGTTTTCGCCTGTGCATATAGAGAATAGTATGACATGCCAACGTTTGTGTATTCCTCTGATATCTTCTGTATGATGAATGTAACTTTGTGCCTGTTCATCTCTACTGTATCTGATGTCCAAAGCCAGTTAAAGTTGAAAGTTTAAAAATGGGATGTCTTTAATTTACCACAGATTCATCTTGTCTTTGACCTGCATTCCCTGTTGGTCAGAAAGTTGAAAGAAATATCTTCCCTCGTTTCACAGATAGTTGTTAGACATCACTGTACGATATGTTCTGTTAATAAGTTAATGAAAATATGTCTTACTTATATCTAGAAATCAATCAGAAGTCACGTTCACCTTTCCCATGATTTTTTCAGAGGGGTCAAAGTATTGTTGGCATGTTACAACTAGATTTCAACATGCTTACATTTAGCCTCTGTAACATGTCACAGTTAGCAGGTGAACATGTTAATGTTCAGGATGCAGTGCTTCATGTTAGCTGGCTAACAGGGCTGGTTATTGAACCTCAGTACATTTGTGTTTTAGAGTTTTAGATAACTTTCAAATATTGAAAGCTGGAATTGAATGCTTGTTCAGATTCTTAGATCTCGTTTACTCTTTGATGAAATGTTTCCTGATTTAAATCATAATTTATGATAATTTCTTGTCTTTTATTTAGCGCAAAGAATTTGAAAGATGAGAAGGGAATAATTTGAGATGTTTATGTCTTGTTGAATGGAAAAAAAGAAAAAGATGTTTGTGTTCCTTAAAGTATTGGAAATTGTATTGTTCTGGTATCAATACCAACATACAATACATTATTGTATCAAAACATTTCAAACAATACCCAGCCATAGTTGCTAGTGTGTTTGCGTTAGTATGTTAACATGCAAAAGTAATTATAAGAAAATGTGAATTTGTCAAACTGGACTTCTGATTGATCTCCAATATATAATAATCACATCTTTGTCCTACTGTAAACCTTCTAACAGTGGCGTTTACCAGCCCTCCACCTCCACTACGAAGGGCTCTTTGACGGGGATCCTGCCGCTGTTGACGATCACACACTCGGTGTACGGCAGGTTCCTGTCGTTGGTGTCCTGAAGCTCGATGGTGTGAACCACAGACTTCCAGAGGAGACAGACAGAAGCAGGTTAGATGCACTCAATGAAAAGGGAAAGGATTCATATGTTATCAGCAGGTTTTATATTGAGTATCTGCAACAAGACACAGTCTTGACTTCCGGTAATGGCGACTGAGGAGCAAATGTGTTTACCTCCCGCTACCATACTTTCCAGCTTTTTACCCTGGAAACTCTGCAATTGTCCTCTTCACTTTTACAAAGAATAACTCGAGAACTGACAATCTACTAAACAGGCTAAAAAAAAAACTCCTGCTAGAGTACCACAAAGACGGCCATCTCCTCTCTCGAAGACAAAATTTATCTAGTGCAAGCCGCTGCCAGTGACCAACCACAGGCAGCGTATTACTTCTTTGGAGTCTTATGTCGACTCCATCAGTGATTGCCTGTTGTCTCTGGAAGCTATGTGTGCCGAGTTAGCTGCTAGCAATGTTAAGCTGCAGACCTTGAGTCCAAAAGCCGTCGTGACAACATCGGGATCATAGGCCCCTGAATCTACACAGTGTTCACCTCACCTGTGGCCCAACTCTTAGAACGAAGAAGCAGGCAGACCTCATGTGGATGCCCTTTCTCCTTAATAGTTATAATTGAAATATAAAGGAAGTCTAAGTTTTGTTTGTTTGATTTAAGAATGAGTTGAACTTTGTGGTTATTTTTCTCAGTCCACCTACCATCCCGTCCAGGACTTTGCCAAAAACCACGTGTTTCCCATCCAGCCATGGTGCTTTGGTAGCCAGGATGAAGAACTGCGATCCGTTGGTGTCTGGACCGGCGTTTGCCATACTCACCTGATACATGAACACGCACGCAC